AGCTTCCTGATTCTCCCCAAGAGGGAGACAGATTTTTTTCTATTCATTTCTCAGAATCAGTCATTCTTTGCCTGTGCTCTGAGTCAAAAATATTTGCTGCTCTCTTCCAGTAGCTTATGTGTTTGCTTCTGATGAGAGTGTTATGTGAATAGTCCAAAGACCTCTTCTGTCTATTGGCTGTAGATTGTTTATTTCTTCAAGGCTCATGATAATAGTATCATTAGTCCAGAGGCAAACTCAAATTTTTACACATCCAATTGCTCAAAAATGTAGTCCAAATAAGCATATTTTTAGTGAGTTAGAGTCTGCCTGCTTTGCATATCCCAGAAAATTTCATTCAACATCTACTAGCCTTAGCTAAGACCAATTCTGTAGTTATAAAAGACTCCAAGCCACTGCTGTCCTTTGAAAATCTTGGTCTTAGAGACTCCTCATGTTGCTGCTTTGTGACCTCATGTAGACACACAATCCCCTCACCAATTATCCTCTCTTGCCCTTGCCCTATTTTCCTTCTGGATGGTACTCCTGTGCCATTGTCACTGGAAGGTCTCATGCTGTAATATGCGCCCCTCCTGCCCCACCACACATACACATGAAAACCTGTCAAGGTACCACCCTAATAAAGCTCATTGTTTGTTAATGCCCCCTGGCTATCATATATATGTGTGTGTATGTATGTATATATATATATCATACACATGAAAACCTGTCAAGGTACCACCCTAATAAAGCTCATTGTTTGTTAATGCCCCCTGGCTATCATATATATGTGTGTGTGTGTGTGTGTGTGTGTATATATATATATATATATATTTATCAGTCCTGAAGTCCCTGAACTCACTTCGAGTGGCAATGAAGATGAGGTGATTTTGGTTATGATCAAGGAATTCATATGTGGGTCTACCCAGTTAGTGAAACAATCATTGGTTATATTGGTTCTGGACAGCCTTAAGTGATTGGGACTCAAACATTGGGAAGCCCATACATTAGTTTGGTATGACATTGCTGTATTGTACTCTTAATATTTTACATGTACCCCCATACCTTATTAGCCTGGCCAAGCAGGAGTACCAGTATCTGAGTGAATCCCCACCATTAGAATTGACTTTTGCCCAAGAAAAGTGGTTAGTGCACCTGTCTGGGTCCCCCACTAGGAAGGTGCCAGATGTTGTAAGACCTGCAGCCCTGAATAGAAAAGAGGGAGGAGTACACATCTCTAGACGAAGGGCGGCCTATCTGTGACCCTGTAACAGGCTACAGTGGCAACAGCTCCTTGTAGTCAGTGATTTGGGGTATGCTGAAATAAAAGAATATCCTTATTCCTGGGGACTGCTACAGCAGGTAAATGAGCCAGTGAGGCAGAGACATCAGGCTGAGGCCAGGCTCCTGAGCCCAGCTGGAGAAGTAGCCTTTGTAAACAGCTAGCACACCTCCAGGATACTCAGTTATGCTGTGTGATGTTGTCATTATGGTTTCTCCTTGGAGGGATATTGAGATCCCAAACCTTGGGTCGAACTAGCCTAAGTGTTACTTCAAATGAGTAAAAGCAAGGCAATCTACATCTTTGTTCTTTCCAGAACTTTAAAGAAGCCACTGCCCTGGTGAGGAGATGCTCTAAACCACAACTCATGTGCTGGTCTCTGTTCATGGCAGCTTCTTACCAGGAGGCCACACAGAGAGTGAGGAGGGACCTGAAGTCCTGGGGGAGATCATATGAAGAGAGGAACCTGGGCAGGAGGACTCGTGCTCTCTAGCACAGTGTCACCAGGACTGGGACTGAAATAATTTACCCTCTACTTGCCAGTGACCACCCGCTAAGTAATGAAGACAGAAAAATCAGGAGAGGGCCAAGAAGGAGGAGAAGGTTATTACTTGGATGAGGAAACATGGCCTTTCTCTTACACTGAGACCCAGTTTCTCTTTCAGGAGCTAGCCTGGGAAACAAATGAAAAGGGGTAGCCTGGCCACATAGAATGTATTTGGTGGGGAGTAAGCTCTACCTAACAGGAGCTAAATGTAAACCATTGGCTGCCATAGTTTTAGATGCAAAAATAGTATTCCTTTTAAAGGATCCTGTAAAATTAGTGCAGAAGGTAGGAATGACCCACATAGGAAGCTCTGGTCTTCATCCACAGATGCCTTGCTGCTGTGGATTTTCATGACTTGGGCAGGTATTCAGCCTACCTGAAACCTTGTAACAGCCTGGGCAGAGTGTCAATGGAAAATTTTAGCTGAAGCCAAAAATCCTCTCCATCAATTGGGGATATTAGAATGGGCTTATCAGTCAACAGATGACATGTAGTATGATGACTTGGCAAGTCTGGCTGAGTCTGAAATAGGTCGAGTCTATCCAGCTGTTTCTCGGGGGTCCTGAAAAATTTAAGTTGTCCTTACTGGCAATGATTGCTAATGCTAAAATAATTTGAGACACCATACAAACCCTGGATTTAAAAGAAGCTCAGATAGCCATGTCTCAGGATAACCCACAAAACTCAAATAGCCCAAGGACTGGAATTCATGGCCAAATCTCATGCCTGGATTACTTACTGGCAGAAGAAGCAGGTGTACTTGCTAATACATCTTTCTGTAGGTAACACTCACCAAGTTTTACAGGTAGCCAGGAATAGGTACCAAAGGGGCCATGATGATACTCTATTCACAAAACAATTAAATGAATCAAAGTCTTTTCCTCTTCTAATCTGTTCTTCAGACTTTCTTCCACTAAATAGGCATAATATCCGAAAACAGAATTTGAAACTGTAGCTTGTGCCCTTATAGGACTCTGGGTCTTTAGAATGCTTTGCCACTCACTGGCTCCAAACTCAGGCTTTATGAGGTAATATACAACTTGGGTTGTAAAACAACATGGGGCAAAGAGATGGGTTGCTATATACATGTGCCAAAAATAGCCCTGTGTTGTTTACTTCTTCACACCAGGCTGGGACCACTGAGCTCAAAAACCTGTCAGAGCTAAATTCAAATTTGTATATATCCAGTTGCTTTAAATATATCCCAAATAAGCATATTTTTAGCTATTTGTGAACCTGCCTTTGCATATTCCATAAAACAGCATCCAACATCTGCTAGCCATAGGTTACACAAACTGTAGGATTTAAAAATACCCCAAACTCTAGAATTCTCTGGCCTAGAGACTCGCCATCATGCTGGACACTTAAACTCCCTTTCCAATACCTCTCTCCTGAGAGCTCTCTTGTCCTCTTGCCCCTATGTGTAGTCCACCCCAACCCCATTGTCTTTGGAAGATCTCTTTCAGAGAAGGAATTTTTCCTCCTCAGGCCAACTTATCAAAGTACCCTCTACCCCCCAATAGAGCTCCTGTGTGCTACTACTGCTTGGTGGTCCTATCTATCTTTCCTGTTGATCAGCCTGCAAATCCCTGAATTCACTACGGGAAAGAAAGGTCTGGGGAAGTAGACAGGGCTTTTTACTCTCTCATCCCTACCCCAAAGCCTGTCTGCTAAGACCCAAAAGTGGTAGAGATTCCCAAAATAAATTGTAAGACAGATAGATTATGGGGACACCTTGGGAATGACCAAGTTTCCATCCACTTTAAGTAAATGATGAGAGATAAAATGAAGCTGCATTTTATTACATAACATGAACTGGGCTTAAGTTCAATGGCTAGCTTATATTCACAGTATATCCTGAGTTTGATCACATTCTACTTCCTCTGCTATCTCTCTAGATTAAAGCACTGTGATCTTTTCCTTGGACAATTACAACAGTCTTCCTGGTATTCCTATGAAAGGATCCTGTAAAATTTGTGTCCTTGCAACTCAGATACCCTACTCCCGTGATGTCTGATGTCTATCCTCTATGTGACAGTTTTTAAAAATATAAGTCAAATTATTTCACTTGACTGCCAAATCTCCCCCAAAGGTTTCTCATTATACTTGGTAAAAGTTTCAAAGTCTTTACCATTTGTTCTCTCACTTTATCTCCTATCACTTTCTCCTTTGTTCTGTCTTCTGGTATTATGTTCCTCCTTGGTTCTCTTAAACATATCTTCCATGTTCTTGTCTTAGGCATTTGCATTGGCTGTTCTCTCTGCCGGAAATGCTCTTTCCTACTTATTTCTGTGGCCTTCCCCAGGACCTTATCGAGAATAACCTTCCTCCTGTCCATTTCTTACCCTGTTTGCTTTGTCTTCATAGCATTTTAGACATCCAGCGTGCCTTTGTTTCTTTCCTATTGTCTCCCACTGGAATATAAGCATTGGAAGGATGGGAACAGCATCTTGGTTTTATTCACTGTCTCTCAAAACCCTGATACTTGGCAGGTCCTCTGAACATATCTTTGGACTTAATGGACCAGTGCTTAAAATCCATATTTAGAAAAAGGCAAATATTACTTCAGAGAAGAAACTTCATGATATGAGAATTAGAATATCAACGAATTAACTATTGTTACAATTTTTAAATTGTAATTGAATAGTCAAATTTTATAAGTTTGGCACTGAAATGCAAGAATGTTAATTTCCCAGTACCTTAATCTACAAGCTTGCTTCTGGTACTGTACTGAATGTCTGCCTTACTAAATACATGCTTACTTTCAACTGAAACTGCTGAATGACCAAGATCATTTTTTACTCCTACCGCTGACAGTGTCCAACTGGTAGTGATGCTATCACCCATCTCCTGACATAACCCTGAACTTGATTTGTATTATATAATATAATTTCTTTGAAGCAACCTTATAAACTAAAGTTTGATACAGTATTTGAAAAAAGGATGTTTTTCTGAGTATTTTCAGATTTCAGGCTTAGAATTATTGCCCTCACTTATATATTTTATGTCTAATATTGTTTTGCATTCACTTGCTGTTTCACATAATCACTGTGGGGAAAATGCCCTTAAACTACAGACCCAGAAATGCAGAAATGAAAGCAATGTAATTAGTTTTCAAGATAACAAAATTGCCTTTGATTTATTGTCTGTAGCTCAGTTTCCATTAAATGAGTATTAATTTTAACATTTTACCTGAGTGGAATGATAGAAGGATGTTTGCAGAAGGATGTTTGCGGCAGATAAAAGTTTTGAAAATCTTCTGTTTGATTACTTCTTCAGCAGTGCCCATCACACTCACTTCATTTTCTGTAAGAAACTATTGATGAAATAGGTCATACTTGTTGGTTATGGCTTGCCTGTAAATAAATTATTAAATATTTATTTCAGCAAGTCTTTGTCTTTTTGACCTGTAAAGTCTTTGTCTTTTTGACCTGTAATTGCAATTTTACCACATTTGAATATCCTGCATAGGTATTTCATAAGGCAGTACTCAAATCTCTTATATATTATGTAGTTTGTCTTCAGCTAGAAAAAAAATGCAAAATTCCTAGTACATTCCTGATAAGGCAATGGATTTTTTTTTTTTTTTTACATTATCTTGTACTACAATTTCTTTCTGAATATACAATTAATGAGTGTGAACAAAACAATGTATACTTTTGGCTTCTTAATTACTTAAAGCTTAGACCACATCTGTGCCATTTTCAACATCGGTTGCATAACATTGTTTTTTAGAAATTATTTTCCATTTTATATGTATTTCTTCAATGAAATTCACTGTTTTAGTTTATGTTGGATACAAAATTCTCTGAGCAAGCAAAGCAGAGGTATAGTGGAAGTCATTATTATTCCACTGAGCTGTCAAACCTTTAATATTTTCTTCTAGAGTCAGAACTATAAGACAGATATTAAAATACTTTTGTAATAATTGTTTTGAAATTTACTTAGTGAAAAATAGCGGTGCTTGGGATACCTTTGTTTCTATTTTTTTTTCTTCTTCGGACTATTTATAGTGTTTATTGCTTTGAATCAAAGTAATTTAGTGTGAATATTTTGTATATGATTTTGGAAATTTTTCTTTTCGTGGAAATGTGGCTTTTAATACATCCTTATAGATATGAAAATTCATGAGTAGGATGCTTTTAAAAAAGCTTGAGTATAGGTGGAATTAAATATCTAAAAAATATTAAGCATTATTTTATATACTATTAGGAATGCCAGGCTATAATTACTCTATAAATTATTTTCTTTGTACAATTTCTATTACATAGATTTTTAAATATTGTTTTGTATTAAACTATGTTTTCCATATAGTTAGATAGTTCTGCATAATCTAGTATTCTCAAATTAACTATAAATATATTACTCTATTCAACTACTTGAAAGTTTTTAATATGTTTTTATATGTAAAGTTAACAACTTTCAGTCATTAATTATAGAACCATTTTTCTTGCAATAATACTAGATATATTTATATTTCATCCAACTGATAGAATTTTAAAATATAACATATAAAAGGGTTTCATTCCAAGTTATAGCTAGAATATTTACCTTCATTTGATTATGAATATTTAGATATTAATAAATTCAATGGTATACGTATTCATATTACTGAAGCTGTTATATTGATTAGATATAATTATAGCAATGGGTTATGGATCATGTACAAATTTGTAGATACCAGTAATAACTCTGGAGTAGAGTTTGAGCCTACCAAAGAAGCCACATAGCAGCTTTTGGCAGGATTACACCACTGAAGGTGGACTCCAGTACACCAATAACAAAGTGTTGAACTAAGAATAAAAGAATGGGCACACATTTCTCTTACCTACAATTCACACCAGGAGAAAGGTGATGTGACATTATCTCAGCATATATACTGGGAACGAATATGTTTGGGAAAAGCGTCTGTTCATTCTGCAAAGCTTTACATGCATCTTCTCCATGTCAGGCATGTTCTGTTAGGCAGTGGGCATACAGCCCTACAGAAAAGAGACTAAGACCCTATTCCAGTGGAGTAGACAGACAATATACAGATAACCAATCAGTGTTTTCCCTGTCAGTTTCTATGAAGACAAATAATACAGTTCAAGGAAACAAAGTGACTGCAGCTTTGATATTAGGGGTGAGGGACGATCTCTCTGGGATTTTCTGATAGTCAACTAAAGATCTAAATAAAGTAAGGACATGAATTTGTGAATATCTGGAGGAAGAGTTTTCTAAGCAGAGAGCAGCATGCACAGAAGCCTATGGTGTGAACATGCTTAGTGTATTTAAATAACTGAAAAGAAGCATATTTGAATAACTGAAAATGGTTGTAGTATATTACAATTTTCAGTTACAAGGCCTTTTACAATGTGTCAACCCCAGAAACTTTAAGAAACAGCACATTCCATGCTCATGGATAGGAAGAATCAATATTGTGAAAATGGCCATACTTCCCAAAGTAATTTATAGATTCAGTGCCATCCCCATTAAGCTACCAATGACTTTCTTCACCGAATTGGAAAAAACTACTTTAAAGTTCATATGGAACCAAAAAAAGAGCCTGCATTGCCAAGACAATCCTAAGCCTAAAGGACAAAGCTGGAGGCATCATGCTACCTGACTTCAAACTATACTACAAGGCTCCAGTAACCAAAACAACATGGTACTGGTACCAAAACAGAGATATAGACCAATGGAACAGAACAGAGCCCTCAGAAATACCATATGTCTACAACCATCTGATCTTTGACAAACCTGACAAAAACAACAAATGGGGAAAGGATTCCCTATTTTATAAATGGTGCTGGGAAAACTGGCTAGTCATAAGTAGAAAGCTGAAACTGGATCTCTTCCTTACGCCTTATACAAAAATTAATTCAAGATGGATTAGAGACTTAACTGTTAGACCTAAAACCATAAAAACCCTAGAAGAAAACATAGGCAATACCATTCAGGACATAGGCATGGGCAAAAACTTCATGACTAAAACAAACACCAAAAGCAATGGCAACAAAAGCCAACATTGACAAATGGGATCTAATTAAACTAAAGAGCTCAAGCACAGCAAAAGAAACTACCATCAGAGTGAACAGGCAACCTACAGAATGGGGGGAAATTTTTTGCAATCTAATCATCTGACAAAGGGCTAATATCCAGAACCTACAAAGAACTCAAACAAATTTACAAGAAAATCCCCACCAAAAAGTGAGCAAAGGATATGAACAGACATTTCTCAAAAGAAGACATTTATGCGCCCAACAAATTATGAAAAAATGCTCATCATCACTGGCCATCAGAGAAATGCAAATCAAAACCACAATGAGATACCATCTCATACCAGTTAGAATGGTGATCATTAAAATGTCAGGAAACAACAGCTGCTGGAGAGGATGTAGAGAAATAGGAACACTTTCACTCTTGGTGGGAGAGTAAACTAGTTCAACCATTGTGGAAGACAGTGTGGCAATTCCTGAAGGATCTAGAACCAGAAATACCATTTGACCCAGCCATCCCATTACTGAGGATATACCCAAAGGATTGTAAGTCATGCTGCTATAAAGACACATGCACACATATGTTTATTGTGGCACTATTCACAATAGCAAAGACTTGGAATCAACCCAAATGCCCATCAATGACAGACTGGATTAAGAAAATGTGGCACATATACCCCCCATGGAATACTATGCAGCCATAAAAAAGGATGAGTTCATGTCCTTTGCAGGGACATGGATGAAGTTGGAAACCATCATTCTCAGCAAACTATCACAAGAACAGAAAACCAAACGCCTCATGTTCTCACTCATAGGTGGGAAGTGAACAATGAGAACACTTGGACACAGGAAGCGGAACATCACACACTGGGGCCTGTTATGGGGTGGGGGGAGGGGGGAAGGATAGCAGTAGGAGATATACCTAATGTAAATGATGAGTTAACGGGTGCAGCACACCAACATGGCACACGTATACATATGTAACAAACCTGCACGTTGTCCACATGTACCCTGAAACATAAAGTAAATATATATATATAAAAAGAAGCAGCATTGTATAGTATATATAGCTGTATAGCAGCAGTTTTCATAGTTTATAGCTATAAAGTTAAGTCTGTCGGGGTGCCATAGAGGCAAGAAACTGTTTTGACATCAAAACAACTGTGCTGATGGAAGGACTAATGAGTGACACTTTGAAGTAAAAATTGGAGGTGTGGTGTGAGATTGTGACATTTAAAGATTAATTACAGTAGGGTCAAATTGTACCTAAGTGTTAGTTTCTTTGTCCCAATCTGTTGCTTACTTTGTTGTAGTTCTATATTTTAATAAAATTACATATATTCATTAAGCCAATATATGGCAATGTTTTATATGTTTAATCACCTAATGCTCAAGTGTGGCATTTAGAGCCTTGTGAGCAAATTACCTACTGCTTACTTGTATCACATGTTCAAATGCAAGATAAAATAAAATGAATATAGTTAAAAAAAAAAAAAAAGCAGAAAGGCCACTCTGTAAATCTATCAGTCTAAAACAGTAATGCTACTGTCACTAAGATCTCAAACATCTGACCTTTTTATGAGTTATCTCCCTCAGTAAAACAATTACTCTAGCTATATTCTTAACCCAGATCAGAGTAACTGGTTTTATAAGATCCTCATTCTTCTGTCTTTTCTGCCTTTGTCTGGTTTACAACATGGATGTACCAAACTGTTTGAAAGGAAAAGACGGATTAAAATACTGTTGAAAGACTTCTGGTTTCTGGGCCATCAGAGAAGGAGCTTAGAAGCTCCCACTCTATCCCAACAATAAGTAAAAAGCTGAAAAAGTAGTAACTCTTCTTATATTTATCAGAGCACTGAGGTCACAAGGCAAGCTTGCTGCCCTGAGAAATGGAAAGACAGATAAGCATACCCAGAGAATCACAGCTTACTTGAGCAGACATCCACCTGCAGGACCCACCCCAGAACCAACGCTGGCATGGGAATATCTCAACTATAGTTGACAAACTGCTGGAGGTGCAGTGTGGACAAGTCTCAGAACTTCCAGGGAGTTTTTCCTGCAAACTTCCAGGGAGATCCAATTGTAAGGGGTCCCACACTCTTATGAGTTTTACTTCAAGGAGCTCTGCTAGCTTCTCACAGTGAAGATTGTTGAAAATTCCCTAAGGCTTCCAGCAGGGGTCTGGGGGAAGCAGCCATTCCTGAAATGCAGAACGCTCTGCTCTCTGTCACTAGGCCTGCCTTCCAGAAAAACTAACCCACTGGGGTTTTATTAGAGCATAATTTACCTGGGGAAGGAAAATGCCTAACTTCTCTACCCTTCCTGGACCACC